TAACCCAAATATTCAGATGTCTGCAGCACATTTTATGGAGGACTGTTTCCTGATCCTGGTAGAGTAGACTACAATGCCGGCTGTTCTGACTCACAGACTGTAAGTAAGTTTTTTTTTATTTAAAGAATTTGCCACTGACGATTCAAACGCGAGTTTTGAGCGGTGTAGAGTAGCTCTTGTTGTTTGTCATTTCTCCGATCACAAATGCAGACATGGTTTTATGTTACGCTCCGGCCGGACAGGGGGGCATCACAACATGGTAAGGGGTGTAACATTTCCGTCACACGCTTGAGGTATTTGGCCAATCACAACGCACTGGATAGCTGGCCAATCAGAGCACACCTCGCTTTTTCAGAAAGATGAGCTTTGTAAAAATCGACGCATTTCGGAAAGGCTGGGCATAGAGGAGAAACAATAATGTACAGTATGTGGAAAATAATGTGTTTTTTTAACCTTAAACCGCATTAACACATTTCATTACACCAAATACACAAAATAATGTTCTTTTTAGCAGCAACATATGACCCCTTTAAATCCACCGAAGTTAATCTACTCTCCTGTCTGATTTGTGGTTAAGGCTAAAAGGGATACAGCTGCCGTATACTGGGCATGCACATTTACATATTTTCCTAGCCAATAACGTGAAACCTATGAAAATGTTTTAAAAAGCACATGGCACCATAGTTTCATCACTTTACAGTGTCACAATGACTGTGTTTTTGCAGTAAATGACCTGTTGTAGTTTAATGAGTGGGAAGATGACATGCAACGTTGGCTGCATTGAAAACAGCCCTGCTGAAAAAAAAACAGCTAAAACCAGCCTAAGCTGGTTGGCTGGTTTAGCTGGTCAACCAGCCTGGTCTTAGCTGGTCATAAGGCTGGTTTTAGAGGGGCCATGCATTCCATGCATACAGCGCCGGACACGATAGATTTTCTGGTATGCAAAACAAGTACTTTAAAGGAATTTCTTCGCTTATTGTCGTTACTGTGGCAGCCAACAACAGCACAGTTTAACCCTCCGCACATTTTTATATTTAGTTATATTGAAAAAGTTTAAATTCAGTCTATCTTTTTTTTACCCCGTTTTAACATGGATTTATGGAGTCCGGCTGACAAGATGGCGGATAGCAAAGGCGGCACATAATATCCGCGTTCTGATTGGTCAGATTGCCTGTCAGTCAAGCTCCCTGCAAACGGTCAATTAACTCAGTAGTTCCTTGTTTGGTCTTGTGTATATATATACTCCTTGTGTTTCTGATTTTCTTTGTCCTGTCTGTGACAATAATGTTAAGGTGTTGTGTGATTCATTTTCCTGAGTGTTGAATTAAAGACTGTTCCTTTGGATTATTCATCTTCATGCAGTAGCCTACTTATAGTGCAACCACTTTGACGATAGCTTATAATAACATTAATTGTTTTTTGTCTTTTATCAGCTGTAATACTCACCCGCTTGCTTTTTTAGTTCAGAGATCTTGCGGCGATAGTAATTCACAACAACAGCTACAACTGCAGTCAAAAACAGCAGAACAGCAGCAGATATCCCAACTATAACACCCGGAGACAGACCCAGATCAGGAAGAGCTGAAGAGAGACAGTGATTGAGGTATTAAAGGTACACTCTAAAAATGCTGGGTTGTTTCAACCCAACTTTGGGTCAAATATGGACTAACCCAACCATTGGGTTAACTTTTTACATTAAATGTTTAACCCAAAAGTTGGGTTAGTCCATATTTGACCCAAAGTTGGGTTGAAACAACCCAGCATTTTTTAGAGTGTAGCTGACCAAAGCAGAAAATCTTAAAAACAAAAATGAGAAGTGAGGTCCTTTGGTCTTTACAGTGAAATGGAAATATTATGTTCAAAATATCACATTTAATTCATTTAAAGTAATGTAGTATGGACTTACTTTGTAATTGTTTGTGAAATTTACTGGCAATTTCTGAGTAAAAGGTTTTTCTACATTAATTATTTTAGTCAAAATCTTTTATTTAAGTTTCTCATCTAATATTTATACTTTGGCCATTTAAATAGTTAAATTATCAAACACAAACAAGTATCTGTTTTAAGGTGCTGACCAAACTAGTCTTTTAAAGACATGCCCTAAAAAGACTCACCACTGACAGAAACCAGGAATTGCTGCGAGCTCTCACGGCCTCTGATCTGTAGTTCATAAAGTCCAGTGTGTTCAGTTCTGGTGTTCTTGATGATCAGAGACCCAGTCTGATCCAGCTGCAGTCTGTCTTTGAATCTTTCATCAGCATCATTTAATGAAGTCTCGTTAGTTTCCACATCAATTTTAGCCAGGAGGACACCTTTATCTCCAAACCTCCACACTATCAGATCATCTCTTTGTATTTCAGTAACTCCCGTCTCACCAACCACACCTGGAAAACAAATCAGATCAGAAAATTGGGGCAGTCTTGTACATTTTGCAGGCGACATCCAATCATTCCAATTCTCATGATCAGGAATTTTGCCCAAATAACTTACTTCAATTTGGTCTTGCGAATTTGCCGTTCCGATCAACAGAAAGCAGTGGAAGCATTGCTTCATAATTCTCAACGCTATTAAAAATGATTTTTTTCCCCCTTGTGTAATTTGCCTTAAATTTCCGCTAATGTGACCGCACCTGTAAAGTTTTATAGCGTGGTTCAAACCGTACAGTGTAAAATAATGAAAGCCGAAACAACCTCACTATTTTATTGAATTAAAAAGATATAATCACGTCATGATTGAATTAAAAAGATATAATCACGTCATGATTGAATTAAAAAGATATCCTTGAGATAGCCAACTCACCAATTACAGTAACATTTAACGTCTTAGTCGTAGTCTTTTCTCTAGAGAAAGATAGTTTATATTGTCCAGAGTGTCTGATTCTGGTGTTTCTGATGGTGAGAGAGCCGGTTATTTGGTCCACTTGCAATCTGTCTCTGAATCCCACATCATCGGTGACGAAAAAAGAGGTCAGGTCATTTTTTCTCGTTATTTGAGATATGACAAAGCCTTTAGGTCCAAACACCCACAGTAAAGTATCATCGTTCAGTATTTCAGTAAGATTAGTGTGTAGAGTGACAGAATCTCCTTCCATCACTGACATCGTTATATCGGTTTCTGCATCAAACACACCTGCAGAACATAAATTAACAATTACATATAGATTAATCTGATACCACACCTCAGTAAACAGATTCAACCGAAAACTGTGCGAGACAGATACGGCATTATCGTGAATAATAATAATAATAATAATAGATAAAAAAAATTTATACAGTGTTTCATTTTATTATTATTATTATAAGACCCGCTCTTGCAACTCTCTGTTCTTATTCTTCTGTATCTTGCAACTAATGCTACACTCTTGATATTCAACATTACTATGTGTCATTAATTAAAAGCCAATCAGCATCAAAGTAGTGAATGAAATTTTGGGCGGCACCCCATTTTGCTTGTAGGTTATGCATCGTCAGTAATGTCTGTCTTCTGAAACCTTCAGAAGGTCTTAATGCTAGGAGAGACCGGGATGGTTGTAACTTTTGACATTTCTTTCTGTATCTTGGAGTTCTTTTAATGCATTCAAAATATTAAATGGCATAGCTGTTATCTTTGCAGCACAAACATAAAATGCATGTTTTCATTTCAAACACAAGAAGTGAAATGTTACAATTCACCCTATGGGTTAGTTCGGTGAGATGATGACATGAGATCCACCGAGGTGAGATGTACCATTATGTAATTAAGACTATGACCAAAAACATTTCTTAAAATGTTTAATCTTTAAGAACTGCCTCCCCTTTAAATCGCAGAAGCGAAAGTTCCTTTTCGGTCCAATGTAGGCTAAGTGCCGCCGGACAGCAATTTCGTAAAGCCATTTGTCCCCTGCATCTGTGCACTACAGACGTTTCCAAAAGAAGTCGACGGCGACTGATTTAGGTGGGATTGGAAGACATTTTACAATGCACTTGTCGCAGCTGATGTCTAAAAAAAATTATAATAATTAAACTTCTAAAACAAAAATCCACTTACCGTCCATGAGTAATATGAAAAGAGACAGCAATAACATCCTCTGCATATTTGTATAAGGTTGTGTAGATTCCAAATGTAACAAAGATAAACAATGGAGATTAGTTTTCTTCACCCAAACCGGCTACAAGTGCGGATATCTTACAAATTCACTAACATCTAACAGAGAGCCTTTACAGCAACTGAGAATCACGGCTTTTCTTGAATATGTTAATGACGTTTAATGAGGACCCAGTAAATTTATCCTTGAAAGATAAGTTAGAGGTGAACAGAACCGTAGCTTGCTGTGAATAGAGAGACAACAGATCCCGATGGGCGTGCCCGCATATATGCAAGTGTCGACAGAGCTCCGCCCACCATTAACATAAACAGGGAACGCTCCACCCATTTGATCCATTTGGCTCAGCAGTGAGCGCTGTTTGTTTTCAGACATTGCAGGACATTTACAGAGTGGTGGGCGAACAGCCAGGGAGGGAATATGATTTATGCTTTTGCTTTGTTCACGATGAGCTTGTGGTGTCTGGTTGGTAAGTTAGCACAGAGTAATATGAATATTAATAATAAGCTTCTGTTTGGACTTGGTAAGGATTTTTTTCCTCAAACAAATGTAATGAGTGTGCCTGTTGAGTAATTTACTTAAAATAAAGAAATGTGTAAAACAAAAATGTATTATTTTGTTTTAAAACATTGATCATGAATGAGACAAATTCTAATCAGTGTTATAATATTTCACGCATTTTTAACATGTATAAAACTATGAACCTAGTCTATGAGCCAATCTTTAACATGTTAGCTGAGTAAGATTAAAACTGATCCAGATCATGCTTTATGTTTCACTTCTGTTTGCACGTGAAAATTGGTGCAGAAAAAACATCACCTGGGAGGAACAAAAGTTCAGTAATGCTCAGTGTTTTTTCAGTTTTGTTCAGCACAAGCTCCCTTAATGGAGTTTTTTTTCTCTCTCTCCCATTGATTCAACAGTGACATGTTTAAATCAGATATTTATTGTACACAATAATGTATAACGGTTTGGGACCAAATCACAATTATGGGTTAGAGAAATATAGTTTGGTGACTTTGGTCATTAATAACCAGCATTATGTATTTGTGAGAAAACATGTTTCTGTTTGTTCTCTAGATGTGACCGATGAAGTGAAGACAATATCAGTGATGGAGGGAGATTCGTTCACTCTACACACTGAGGTAAATGAAATACAGAAATATCTGCTAATACAGTGGATGTTCGGAAGCACTCGAATAGCTGAAATTAACAGACTCACCAAAACCAACTCAACATACGATGCTGATGGGAGATTCAGAGACAGATTAAAGCTGGAACAAACCGGATCTCTAACCATCACAAACACCAGCACCACAGATTCTGGACTTTATCAGCTAGCAACAGTCAACAGAGAGACCAGCTACATAAATTTCAATGTGACAGTCTGTGGTGAGTAAAATAATTACAGCATAATTTGCCCATTTGTTTGAGTTATATCTTTGTCATAGGTTCTTTACTATTATTTGCTATATTCTTCACATTCACCTTTTATAACAATGACTTTAATTCCATTTAAAAATGAAACGCCTATGAACGTTTAAGATATGCCACAGTAAAATCTGTCATTATCAGCGGCTCCACACAGTTCTTCACCATCAGAAAGATCGTCAAGCTCAAACTATGTGTTGTCCAGCTCTGCGGTCAACAATTCAATCGTCAATCACGCTGAGGATGCCAGCATTACTGAGCTCTATCAGCCGAGTTCAGGTACGTCAGGTGACATTAGCGATTATTTACACAGCAGAACATGTGTTTATATGTCGGTCTCATTTTTTTTCACTCTGAAGTTGAAACTCAGTAAGCCACACTGATCCAGTTGTGGCCAAACATGGGGTTAATTTGTTACTGATGCTTGGTGCCTTATATAAATCAACCACATAAACCAATTAATAAAAATTAGAACATTTACATTTATGCCTATGGTAGATACTTTCATCCAAAGTGTCTTACATTGCATTAAAGACATGAGGGTGGGGTGCATTTTCTTCTTGCATATTCTTTTTGAGTTTACAGGAACCGAGAACTGATCAGCAACAGAGAAGTGAAGAACGCATGTCAGACCTATTTGCTTGTTAGGTGCACCATATTGCTCAAGAAAACTTTAGCACTCGATGCAGAAAGAATCACATAATCACACAGGTTTCTATTAGAGCCGAGCTAAATGGACGAGAGAAAAGCTCTTAAGCTATTTATATTAAACAATTCTAGCTAATGTTATTTGGCCAAACAATGAAAATGTGCATGAAAACACCGTAAAGCTTGTGGATGTTCTTCCTTCTCAACAAATGCTTGAGCTGCTAATGATAACCCACAAAACTGGCACCTATGAGTCTACTTGGAAGACAGCTAAATGCATTATTTTTACTCCGCTTGTTTTTGTCTTCCCAGTCTGCATTCGACATTGTGGTTTTACTGAAACTGTGATCCGATTGGCTCTCTCTGTTCTGGTGGGCGTGGCTGCTGTTGCAGTGCTGGTTTATGACATCAGATCTACAAGAAATGAGCTGAACAGGACAGAAGAGACCGGATATTTTGATAAGACCCATGGAGTCAAATCAGACCAACAGTGAACTAAGCAGAAGGTTTAGTTCCCTAAAATAAAACCTGTATTAGTACTAATTTCCTGTATTTGCATATCTAATTTTTAACAGTTTAATTCATTGGCTATTTATTGACTGTATCTGCACAGAATGATTCGTATCAATCTATTAAATTAAACACATGGCTGTATACATAACTGCCCTAAACCAATAATAATTAGCAACACAGATGGTATAGAATGGCTCGTTTCCATTGCACCCTTAAAAATAACTCAAAAAAGCCAATTAGCATTGTGAATTGTCCACATTTGTCACAATTTCCAGTTTCATGTCTCCCCATTCTATTCAGATATTTATTTAATGAACTATATCGGAGATATTAATTCTTAAAATTAAAATGTCCTCTTTCCAGTTTCCAAATTTTCTTCTAACCCTCAGTGAGTCTCAAACCTCACTGAATGTCCATCCTAAACAAACCATGGAGTATTTTCCAAATCTCTTATTTTGATAAGAGATTTCAAGAAGCAATATCTGATGCTTATAGATTGATGTCATTTAGATGGTATACTTTACCTTTGCTTTCAAAACTTTCTGAAGTTACTGAGATAAGTGCTAAATACCTTAAATGGGAAAGTTCACCAAAAATAAAAATGGTCATTTACCTTCATATTTCAAACCTGTATTTTCTTGTCAATGGAATATATATAGGGAACAAAAATATATTTGGAAGAATGTTGGCAATCAATTTCTCAAATATCTTTAGTTTCTCTACAGAAGTCATGTTTGGAATGACATTAACATTTTGGGAGGGGAAGAGAGAGGGGGCTGTCTCTTTAAATATACATGAGAACATCGGTCTTTATATTCAAGCCAGACCATTGTAAGGACCACCCACTGGCCCAACGACAGAATCCAAAGGCGTGGGGTGGAAGATTCTGCATGTCTGGCCTGCTGCTTCTCACTTATTTTCACTTCACATATTTTCACATATCACATAATTTAGTCTTCCAATTTATAATCTGACTCTATTGGTAATTTATTCGAAATCCAATTTTAATGAATATTTTAACTCGTAACGGATCATAAGATTAGTTGTGCATTAACAATTAGTCTTTAAACCATATTTTAAGAAAAGGGATGAGTCGAAATGATCAGTTATTATACATTAGTCATCAGGACTAGATTTGAAAAATAGTCACCAAATCTGGAGTCTTTAGAGATATATTTAGGCTGGCTAAATAC